GTGCATAATGAGGGTAAAAGAAACAGCAATAAATACACATACACTTTATTTGTTTTTAAATGTTCAAAATAAACTTGAAAATAAAGAAATAAAAAAAGTCTAGAATAGAAAGAAAGCACCCTTTTTTCTTCTTCAGGGTTTTAAATCTTAAACCTTCCCTTCTGAATCAATTTAGTCTTTCTCCCGCTTTCAGTGGTTTTTCGAACTTGCGATTTTTGACTCACCGTTCTTCTTTATTGAACCTTGTTCCTTGAAATGCGTCTGACAATAAAATTTAAAACTTTCCGAGGTTTGGGATGATCTCTGATAAATTACGAAAAAAAAGTATTTTTGAACACCCAATGTCAGAAAATGAAGAAAAAAAACTTCTAAAATGAATTGATTACTTTATTTTTTATTTTTAATGACTGCATAAAGTTTCGGAAACCTAGAGTAAATATTTATAGAGAAATGCACATTTTTAAAAGAAATTAATTTTTTCGCCTTTTTTTTTCTGTATAACTTTATAAATATTCAATGGAAATAAACAAAATTTTTGGAACAATTTAAAATTAATTTCGAAATTGGCAATTTAAAAATTTTTTTTAAAAAAACCTGCCCAAGATTCGTATTTAAGCTAGTTCTTTTGTACTGTGCATATGAATTTGGCAACTAATGATAAAAGCTTGAATACCTTAAAAACTTAAAAAGTTTCAAGTAATTTTCTAAGTAGTTCTTTTAAAAAAAAATTTTACTATTAAACAAGATTTATTCAAAATGTGGACATCACCCCCCATAAAAGTATGTTTTCTTTCTATATACCATCGAAGTTTATTTTCCGGACGATTAATCTAACATATTATTTAATTTTGTCTTATGATACTTTTGTGAGAAACAACTGAGCTTTCTTTTTAAAAGTACAAAATCTACTTTTTACGATATTCAAATAAAATTCTTTTTATTAGTTGCTAATTGTGATTCACTGCAAAATGTGAAGAAAAACGTTTTTTTTTTTATTGCCTGCGCTGTATAAAAGAACTAGCTTAAATATACATATTTTGCACGATTTTTTAATAAAAAAAATTTTAATTGAAAATTTTGTAATTAACAGGGTTGCCGCCTCACAGGGAGAATAGGGAAAACCTGGAAATTATAGGGAATTTAAAAATCCCCTAAAATAAAAGGGAATTTTGAATTTTTCTTTAGAAACTGGGAAAATACATTGAGTTTTGTTTCTTTTAAAAAATGGTGACCACTCAAAGGACAATCTATGGAATATTTAAGGATGAAACTATTTCATTTTCTAGCGCATTATTTATACAGCTGTTCTATCAATTATAACTAGTAGTTTGCAGAATACAGGTCATACGAGAGGTGTTTTTCCTCTTAATATATTGTGTAATATATTAAGTGGAAAAGCATATAGTGTGTATAGGGAATTTTTTCCTCCAGATTTGAATGGCTTTGTCTTTCTTTGTGATGCTTTGGGCATTCCTTTTTGATATTTTTCAGAAGGACAAATTCTTTTTTGATATTGTTTTAGGATCATGAATAGACAGCGGATTATATGCACTAAAAAACGGACAAAATATGCATGCAAATATGCACTAAAAAACTTGAATATATGCTCTTAAAACTAGAAATATGCATTTAAAATAGAAATTAAAAGTTCAACTTATTTAAATACTACTACTTACTTTTTCCAACAAACACAGCTAAAACATTTTTTTGTTAAAAGGAAGAAAATCAAAATATTTCTTACTTGAATCTACACATTTCTGAAGAAAAAGCCTAAAACTGAAGTATGATAAATGAGAGAAGAAAAATCATCGCATTTTCCGGAAAGATTTTATTAAACTGAATAATTTTTGTTGCAATACACAACTAAGTGTTTTTCCAAATTTTCAAGGGTGAATTGATGTCGTCGGTCATCAAAGATCATTTTGAAAGCAGAAAATGACCTCTCCACGTCAACCGATGTTATTGGACAAAACTTGTACAATTTCGTACTCATTGGTTTTACTTTCTCTGGAAGTTCAGTTCCGTTTCCATTAAGAAAATCATTTATCTTCTTCACTGCTGCAAAACCCGAATTTTTGTTTTGAACGAAACACCATTTTTCTTTTACTTTCTTCCCAACTGAGTCTGGAAGAGCATTGATGCACTGTTGAATTTTTTCAATTTCGGATATGGCCTCAGCCAGGGGAAGACCTCGTGTTTCGAGCTTTGTTATTGCTCCACTTAAGAAAGAAAAGTGAGTGTCAATTATGGCCAAGTCCTTCTGCAAAGAGATATCCTGTAGTAATTCTTTTGTGACATAAACTGAAGAAGCACAGGAACTGTCAATTGCATCTACAACTGACTTTATTGCATCAAAATTATTAGCGTAAAAACATGCAGCTTCAATCCATGTACCCCACCTAGTTATCACAGGCTGTGGAGGTAAGGGCAAATCAGGATACATTTCTTTATACAATTTTATGCGCACAGGTGCCTTGAGAAAAACTTTCTTGATACTAGAAATTAAATCATTCACAGAGGAGAATACTTCTCGAACAGTCTCAGCCAGTCTGTGAACAGCATGAGCCAAACATGCAATATGAAGCATTCTGGGAAAAAAAATTTCCAGTGCTGCTGCAGATTTGACCATATACGGAGCGGCATCACTGACAAAAATCAAAACATCTTCAGAACCATCTCTATCAGGCCATAATAATCTGATAGAATCATTGACAAACCTTGCTATGGTTGAATGATTGACTTTTTCAAGGGCTTTGCTTGCTAGAAGATGTGGTCGAGTAGGAATATTATCCATTTTTCCACAAATAAAATGAGCAATATAGCGACCGCACTTATCTGTCGTCTCATCGACTTCAATCCATATAGGGCCATCTCCAATATCTCGTCGAATATCATCCAGTACTTCGTTATATATCGGTTGAAGGTAGTTCTTTCTTAAAGTCGATTCATCAGGAATGATCTGATTGGTACAATATTTTTTTTAAAAACTGTCTTAAGTTTGGATTATTTAACTTTTTTAAAGGAATATTGCTGCTTACTAAGGCTTTGCGTAAATCACTAGAAAAATCAGTTTCCCTTTTAGCTGCTTGAACAGGAATAGTTAATTAACTTTGAACAAATCCTTTTGTATTCTGCTTTTTCTTCGCGGAGTGAGCATTAGTCTTTATATGTTGATCGATTTAGTACTTTTTTTCACAGGAAATGTGTTTTTGGACAAATCACACAAAATACTATTTCCCCATCAGTCGTAAAGTCCTTCCCATAGTCCGAAATCCATGTCTTCATTAAATTTGATTTAGTCGACTTAATTTTTGGCATATTATAAAATTCAGCAGTCAAAAATCACGTTCGAAGCTTCACTAACTACGTATTCAACTGATGGATGTCGAAACTATCTATCTATGGGATGAACTATCGAAATATGTTAGAATAGCAGCTCTCTCTGAAAATGTATTCACTCCACCTTTTAACTAATCAATCACAGGAAAGGGAGGTCATTTTCTACCTACCACAGAAGCCTTATTTTTCCCACACAGATTGACAATTATTTATTCCCGGAAAAGACATCCCTTCATAGAATATCTGACCATCCCTTTCTGAGGTTTCTATGACGAATGTCTGTTTGGGTGGGCCCTTTGTACCCCCTTCCTGACACACACCTCATTTCTACATCTTTTTCACGCGATTGCAATCACTTCCAGCAACATCAATCCAGCTGACCCTTTCAGGTGATAAAGAACGACAAAACAAAATTTAAAGCGTTCCTTATGCTAACATAAAAAGAATAGTGATATGGTTTTAGGAGGAAAAAGCCATAAAATGCTGAAAATGTGCATTTATAAGAGCAAATATACCTTTTTATGCATTTACAGTACACTCTCGATTTTCCGTTCGTCGATTATCCGGTTTGCGGATTATCCGTGCTCATTCCGGAGTCACACAAAAAATATAAAGAGAAACATTTTCAAGATTAAAAAAAATTGACTCATGAAGTTATAACAGTACCAAATTTTTGGAAAGCAATATTCGTAATTAGATTGCAGTATATGGAATATCAGCAGCATTGTCAAAGGTAAAATTGTCTACGTTATCACGATCGTGGAGAAAGATCATACCGCTTGATGAACAATCTTCTTCAGATATTCAAGAAGATTATGTTAACAGTATTCTTGAACAAGCAAAAGAAATCTAAGGTTTCGAAATTCTTGATGAAGAAAATTTAGAAGATTGGTTTCAAAGTGATGCATGTGGGCCTAGCTTCCAGTATTTGACAGATGAAGACATCGTTATGTTGTTAAATCAAATAGTGATGATAGAAACTGATGCAGAAGATGTAGTGAATGAGGGAAATACAATTTATGCTTCTCTTCAATCTGTGGAAACTTTGTTAGATTATATGGGAGGATTTGATTACGGTGACATTACTGCGGTTCGTAAAGTATGTGTCAATATATGGCGCATTACACATTTTTTAAGCATCAAATGTTGAATGGAAAATTACTAGTTTGGTTTTATACAGCAACAGAAATTTTTATATTTTTTGTCTTGATATTGATTTTTTCTTTAATAAAAAGGAGCTTTCGAATTATCCGTGTTTTTCGATTGTCCGTGCGATCTGTCCCGGTGATTAACCCGGATAATCAGGAGTGCACTGTATATGCACAAATAGCAAAAAGTGCTGAAATATGCAATTGCATATGCACATATGCAATTGCATATTATCTGCTGTCTAGTCACAAATCTTATCGATGAGAAACGATGAGAAATTTTACAGTAAATAAAATTACTTTTGTTCTGTATTCAAGTAAAAAATAAGTGAAGTGCCATATTTTTAAATTAAGAAGTATGTATAAGCATTTGCAAACCTGTTTTTATGAACACTCTGTTTTGTAATGAGCAAATATTATGGTCCCTCTGCATTCGGTGTTAATGCACTGCACTGTATTTTCAATAAAAACAAATTGTTTTCTTCATTTCAAGTGTTTGATTTTTTTCCCTAGTGTTTTTACCTTGAAAACGAAGAAGATTTTAACCAGTGGTGTACAGAGGCACAACAGGTAATATTTTAAATGTTTTTATTTGAAGCAACTATTCAAGCACATATTGCATAAAAATTATGTATAAAAACACAATTTTTTATACACTTTTCTTTAATTTTACTCACACTAAAGAAAGGCATACAGAAATTGATAATAAATGATTTCAGGCTTTATTAGAACCTGAAAGAGATGCAATCTTTGAAATTTTGGAAGAAAAACCTCCAATGTTGCCTTATGCTGATGTTGACAGTTATGATGAATGCTGTAAGTTGTCTCTTCACTCTTTTGAAATTTCTAAATAAATATAATTTTCTCTTATTTATTACCAAAAACTTATATAAATTGCACCGTGAATTAGTCGTTACTAGGATTACATTATATGATAATAAAAGAAATACTAGGTTACTAATAGCAACCTAGTATTTCTTTTATGAAATAATTTAAATGACAAAGGTCAAGTTATCTGGAATGTCAATTTATCCGAGGGTACCGCGTTTTTTAAATGAATCAAATAGGATGCTTGCCAGTTCCACAATCAAGCCAATAATTTACAGAGGTTTCAGTACAGAAATCTGAAAGGGGTTTTCCATTTAGGTAGATGTTCATAATTGCGTTTGACGCTTCTTGTTTAAGACCTGTACGTAATGTGTTTTTTTTTTTTTTTAGTTCATTGCTGAAAAGCCCCTTTCAATCACTGCAGTACTCCCAGACAGAGAAAGCATCCATTCCACCATGCGCAGTATGTTGCTGGATTTCTAGATTAGAGGGTCATAGACTCTTATAGGATAACAAAAATTGAAAATGTATCACGAACATTAACGGAAAAATGACCGTCCGCGCGGACGTCAGATTCGAGAATTCATTGTCCGCGGGGAATTTTTTACCCCCGTGGAAGGGCGGTTTTTCAAGCCCTGATTGGGACCCAATTCACATTCCTCTCTAATATTTTGAGGGTATCTAAATCCGTTGAAAATAAAAGTATGTTTATTCGGAGATCTTTGTGTGCAAGTATGCCATTATATAGTCCTAATATTAGATCAGTATACATTGTCATCATCATAGTTGGCCAGACAGCACAATGTGAGCCAATGCCTTCCTCTTTCTCCATAACGACTTCCGATTTATCTTGGAGTGTAATAAGTTATATATTCTTCATATAATGGGTGGAATGGACATTCTGTGAATATCTAAGGATATATTCTATTAACTGCTTCCCTGATTATCACGAATTAACTCGGTTATGTATATATTGTAAATATTTATTATGCGGAGTAAACTCAGGCATTCTTCTATTATGTTTTGTTTTAAGTCACTTTCGGAAGCAAAACAAAAAAAATAATAGTGATTGGAAGTTTGCCAATACTTGTTTGGGGAGTTTTGCTATTTGTGGGACTGCAGACAGGTTTTGTACAATTGTATATATGCGATGGTGGATGAATTTACATAAAAGAAAGAATTAAAAAAATGATGTTCGCTAGCAAAAGTAATGCAGATCATGTTTCAGATGATGAAGATGTGAACCTATACAAAGACTCATATTTAACTTTTTTCATTGGCCCGAAATAATTTGGGATTGTAAACTGATGATCAATTAAATATTATTTACGCATAAAAGATATTAAAATTTCAACTTAGAACTTGCGTATTATGTTTCGTTTTAGTTCCTTGCATTTATTAATGAAATTAAAAAAAAAAAAAAATATGTTGATTTTTTTCCAAAAAAAAAATAGGTAAGGAGAGCGGGTTTTCTCTTTCGATTAGGTAACAGAATAACTTGCTTTTTTATGTTAATATATACTTTGAAGTACTTGTGAAAAAAAATGCTTTGACAATTATATCCTGGTTCAGGACAGCAATAAATGTCAAAACAACTTCAAAGATCATATGTTTTTACTCAAAAGTTACCTTTCACAAAAATAGCAGAATAAAATTTTCTAACAAGAAAAGTAAAATTTATTTTTAAAAAAAGAAATTTATTCATAAGCTGAATGTAAACAGGATTTTTAAATTATCTATACTTTATGGTCATGGGTCACAACTACCTGTCATGGCTAATTCTAGGGGTTTTACATTTAATGTGTGGTAATTTCTCAATACCTTTTGTTGTAAGTCAAGTGATTGCTTCATTTTTCCTTTTCGAATTTTTTTTTCTTTACCATGTCGATTTTTGCCACAAATAATTTGCAAAAGTGTACTTTTCACATTGTTCAACGTTTTCACAATTCTTTTAACCACAATCCATTTCGGCATACCGCCGATCCATAGCGTGTGATGGCTCCAATCATTTTACATGTTGAATGAAAATACTTGTGGGTTCACATGTGCATCTATTAAGCTGGTTCAGTGAGATTCTTGCACTCTCGACCAACTCTGCTACATTTTGCAAGATATTTCAAACTTCATTTTCCACCCTCTGATATCAAACCGAAAAATCTCTCAATCTTTTTATAACGGCTAATATAATCGCGAAAAGAGTTCTTTTTCAGAAACTACTTATTTTATCATGATCATGTAAAGAGAATTATTTTGTGCTTAAAAATATTTTTTTAAGTGCTTACTTAAACAGTGTTTGTTGAAAGATTAAGCTATGCAATTAAGGGTTGCAAATAATCATATAAGCAGGAAAAAAGATTTTGCAAACAATCATTTATCAGGAATTTGGAAACAAAGTAGCTGAAATAAATTCATAATGTGATGTCTCTTTTAAAAAGAAAGTCAACAGTTGTTATTACAATATATCTGCATGTCTTGCGAGTAATTTACGTTGTACAAATTTAGATTTTTTAAGAAAATTATTGTTCAATAAATTTGACTGCAAAGTGATTTCTTAAAAAGTTACTTCTGTAGTAAATCCAGCCACCCTGACTCCTAAGTCTTCCTCTTGTAACTATTTTTATAACCGTCGTTGAACAGCTGACCCCCTTTTGGGTTTACAATTACTGATGTTCAATTCCGTAGCCTTGTAATTTTGAACCCAATCCAGAAGACAAGGGAAGTACTGGATCAAGTATTGGAAGAAATTGTGCCTTAGTGAAGGTCTTTTTGATGGAACCAACGTGCATTTGCATTGCACGAAGAGGAAAACCATGAAGACCCCTCACGGTTAGCCGGACCGCGAAAGGTGATATGTCTACCATTGATGATATTTTACGTTGGCCCGAGGCAGGTGTATATCGACCAGCCATCTCGAAACCACATCATTGGAAGACGAACACTCTATCCACTGAGCCACCAATCAGCATTCATCTGAACAGAACAAGGTTCCAGGGTATATTATGATGTGACTGATGTGAAAAAAATAATATTTGGCATTGTCGAAATTGAATTTATGTCTAAGATTGCAGCAGTTGATGATTTTTTCGTATTCTTGATAACAGATATATCTATCATGCTCCTTAAGTCTATATTTTAAAGCGTGTCTAATAAGTCAAATGTAGCACTGATCTGCACCCGACTCACACCGACTGCAGTGCTGATGTGAAATATCCTCTGTGGTAGATGGATCATGGGTTAGAGTTCCCTTGCCGTCAGGCTAATTGTGGGAGGTTTTCTTCTCCACGTAACACAAAAGCGGGTCAGTTCTGTCAAAAAATTCTCCACAAAGGCAAAATGTCTCCCAATGCTTGATCCAGGAGCTCCCTAGTCTTTTGTATTGGGTTCAAAATGACAAGGCTACGGAGTTGAACATTAGTAGTCGTAAACCCAAAAAATTGGGTCAGCTGTTCGATGACGGTTATAAAATAAAATGTCTCATTGATAAGGAATATGGTAAAGGCCCCAACGATATTATGATCTTTAAGAGACTTAATTTTGTTAACTAGCCTTTTTTTTTCACCTTTATTTTTACATTTTTCATGGACAACTTTACGTTTCCAATCACGTTTGATATGTCTAGCAACTCTTGAAAATCTGCGCCTGTTTTTGAACGCTCAAAACACGTCACCTGTTATTTCCGATCGGTACACTTTTGATACCGAGTAATGTTGATGTTATTACTTGAAAAGGGCAACCTTCATCACCCATAATTGATTTGACAGTATGCAGCAACGTAGCACCGTTTTTGTTTAAAAAAAATTCCAATTCCAAAAATTAAAAATTTCAACAACCATTTTAGTAAAGATCAAAACTAAATAAATACTTAACGCATAAGACTATTCAAAACATAACAAAATAACTATGGTGTTGCCAATACTTAGATTATCCTGCCACAGAAGAGAAAGAAACACTTTATATTTTTCAAGAAAGTACCATTTTGTAGCTTTAGAAGTGTTCAGTTTATGTGATTTTTCATACTTTGCAATGAAAGCTTGCAGAGGTTTGAGAGACCAACAATAAATTACAAAAGAGCACCAGAGGATCAAAGCAATTACATTTGGTTGTTATTTGCAATATCTGCATAAAATTTCAAAAATCTAGCTTTAATATTTATTGAGGTATGAACATTTTTATTGGAAATTAATATTTTTTTTTGTCTTATGTTTTTCTTTTGTGCTTTGCAATTAACGAGCTCTACATTTCATGTAATGCATTAATTGTATCTCACTGTTAACAATTTTCTGTATGCTAATAGTATTATTATTATTATTTTTATATATTTATTTACTTATTTATTTATTTTTATCTTGTAACCGTTGAAAATACTGTAATTATGTTCTTCAGAAATGATTTTCGATTAATTTATTGTTCAAAATTTTGTCAAATTTTCTAACTATTCATGTTTTAAGTTTCCTCTTGTTTGTGGATTTTTCTTTACGGCTGCCTCGTCATAACTCTTCTTTTTGAAATTGTATCTGTTTTCATAGGCTTTGGACAAATTCTGGTACTTTTCATCATCACAATTTGTTACCTTTTTTCAATGTTTTTAATTTTTTTTTTTTTTTTTTTTTTTTTTTCTTTTAATTGATGCCTTGCCAACATTGTTTGAACACTCAAACTCCTAAATTCTATTTCTGAGTAACTACTATTGTTAATTTTAAGATTTCACTAAATTCTTTGAGGCCTTCTGGTGTTGCCATGGATCGCCACCAAGCCTACCTTTTTGAATCCTCTTTTTCTTTTGCTGAGAGGCCACAGATGCGCACTTAGAGTCTACAGTATTCTCCGGATGCCCCCTGACGGAGGCAGGACGGGGTTAAGCTTTGATTGATTATGTTTTTCTTTCTATAACTTTGAAAATACTCAGTAAAATTTTAAAAACAAATTGGGAGCATTTGGAAAATTTGAAAGAAATTTGTTGGAAAATATGCAAGATACAAGTATTTAAAGTAGTTTTTTTTATACTGTGCATGCTTGGAAAAAATTCAAAATTATTTTTCATAGTTTTGTAGCAAATTGTATTTGGCAACTAACGAAAAAAAATCTGATTTAAATACCTTAAAAACGAAAAAAGTTTCCAGCAATTTCCATAAGCAGTTTTTGTATTTTTTGAAAAAAAGCTAAAAATGATCAGCGTCTTTTTTGTTTTTGTTTATGCAAATTTTATTATGTTGTGTAACAAATTACACTACATCAGAATAATCGAATAGCAAGAAGTAAATTTCATCTGTGAAAAACCTCTTATCATTTTGAGCTTTCTTTAAAAAACCCAAAAACTGCTCATAAAATTGCTTGAAACTTTTTACCTTTTTAAGATATTTAAATCAGATTTTTTTTTTCTCCATTAGTTGCCAAATATGATTCACTAGAAATGTATGGAAAAAAAAAATTCAATTTTTTCCGCGCATGCATAGTGTAAAATAACTTCTTTAAATACTGATATCTGGCAAATGTTTTTCAAATTTTAAAATAATTTTGTATTTAATTTATTTATTGCCCTAAAACTTTTTTTAACACTCTTACTGAATATCTTCAAAGTTATAGAAAGAAAATATAAGACAAAAAAAAAAATTAGTTTTTTATAAAAGTGTTCATACCTCCATAAATATTAAATCTAGATTTTTGAATTTTTATGCAGTTATTGCAAATAACTAAAGTAATCGATAGAAGTTACGAATTAATTGCGTGATTTTCTGATATAGGGTATTCAAAAAAAATTTTTTTTTGGTAATTTATTATCGGTCCCTCAAAGCTTTACAAACTTTAGATGTGATTTTTCATACTTTGCAATAAAGTTACAAAATAATCCTTTAAGTATTTCTTGAGAAATTTTAAAAAAAAATGTCAACAACTGAAAGTATTTCTTCCATTATTATTAGTGTTTCTTCCACTGATGACATTATTTGTTAGAGTCAGAGAATAAAACCGAATTTTATTTATTTTTCTGCAATTATCAAAAAAAGTTTTAACTGTAAATCATAAGTAATAAAGTTATTGACTTCAGTTTATTTATCTATGCTAAATGCACTTGACCAGTAGGCCCACTAAAAAAAGCACTCCGAATTTGAGATGGATAGATGGCCTAGAAAAAGACCTTTTGGCCTTAAAATCTAAAAACTGGAAAACACTAGCAGGAAAAAGGTTATCCTGGAAAGAACTTATTGAGAAGGCCAAGGCCCACCCTGGGCTGTCAAGCCATTGATGATGATCATGAAATACACTTTATGCATTGATGTTTTTAATTTTTATTTTTAGGTACAAGTCTTGATGATAAAGATAGATTATATACATCTGATGATGAATTTGAGCTTCTAATGTAATGGTGTGTGTCTTTCTGTAATTTTGAATGAAAATTTAATAAACATGTCCAACATTTGTGACAAACCTAAAGTATTGTAAATAAAATTTAATGATTATATATATATATATATATATATAAAATGTACACAGGGGTAGGACGAAAAAATGGAAACACTTTGATACTAAGAAATTTTTTGATATTTCTCAAAAATTTCTTAGAGAATCAGTTTATAAATTTAGAAGTGATGAGATCTTGCGATATCTCCTACATTCAATGAAGTTTAAAGCTTTTCGAGATTTCAGGGACTGACAATAAATTAGAAACGGGGAAAAAATAATTTTTAAACACCCTATGCCGAAAAATGTAGCTAAATTTTATAACTTGTCACAATTACTGTGGTAATTATTTACAATAATTGAACAACATTTTGTAAACCTAGCTTAAATATTTATGGAGAAATGGGTGTTTTTAAACGAAATAAATTTTTTCGTTATAACTTTATAGATATTCATTGGAGTTATATAAAAAAAAAAAAATTAAAGCCATTTAAGATTACTTACAAAATTTTCGATTTGAAATTTTAAAAAGAATCGTTAAAAACTGCACAAGATATTTGTTATTTAAAGTAGTTCTTTTCTTCTGCCCGTGTGTAGAAACTTTTTTAGAAATTCTTAAATTTGTAGTGATTCATATTTGGCAACTAATAATAGGAAATCCGATTTGAATATCTTAAAAGTTTCATGAAATTTTCTAAGAAGTTTTTTTACTTTTGAAAAGAAAACTCAAAATAACAAAGGGTTTTCCACAAATTTCATTTTGTACAATTAAACACGATTTAGGAAAAATGACATAGTTGGGGATCATCCCCTATTACAGTATCTTTTCTTTCACATTTCCTAATACACCATCATTAGAAGGATATTATCGTTAGTTTTATAAATCTTGTATACAAAATGAAATTTGTGGAAGACCCTTTGTAATTTTGAGTTTTCTTTCAAAAAATAAAAAAACTAGTACGTCAAAACTTGCTTGAAATTTTTTAAACTTTTAAGTTATTCAAATCCGTCTTTTTTTATTAGTTGCCAAATATGATTCACTACAAAATAAAGAAAGAATATTTTAAAATTTTTTCCTCGCATGCGCACAATATAAAATGAACCACTTCATTTACTCAAATTTTGCGTAGTTTTTATCGAATTTTTTCACATTTTAAAGCAATATTTTTGTAATCAATTTTAAACTAATCCAACCATTTTGCGTAATTTTATCGTTTTTTTTTTTTAAAGTTATTGCAAAAAAAAGTAAGACAAAAAAATTCGCTTTTTTTTTAATGAAAATGTCCGTAGCTCCATAAATATTTAAGCTAGGTTTACAAAATTTGTGCAATTATTGCATATAAATACTAAAATGATTGTTAAAAATGTGTTGCTATATTTTTCGACATAGGGTGTTTAAAAATTTTTTTTTTCCGTTTGTAATGTGTCGGTATTTCGAACATAAAAAAGCTTCAATTTTCGTTGTTATATATATGATCGAACATGATAATTGTACGATCTTTAAAATTTATAAACTGATCCTCTAAGTATTTTTGAGAAATATCAGAAAATGTGTTAGTTTAAAATTGTTTCCATTATTTTGTTCAACCCCTGTATATATATTTATATATACATTGGTGTTTGCTTGGAAGAAGAAAAAAAATCATCTTGTAAAATTAATTTGTAACTTTGCATTCAGCCACTTCTGTTTGTATAAATAAAACGATTTTTGTTTTCGTGCTCTTTTTTTTGTGGTGTGCAATCAATACATTTTAAGAAATCCTTTTACTTAAACAAACCGTGTGAACTCAAGAAAAATCAGATGAATTCAACCAAAAATGAACTAAATTTATGTTTTTAGTTCCAAAAAATTTTTTTTTCTAAGAAGATTTTAAATTTTTATTAAATGAATAACTTATTTTCTGCTTTAAAAAGGCCCACAGTGAAAGGCATACTTAAGACTCACTTGGATTTAAATATTTTAAAATTATAATATGAAACAAAAACGCAATGAAGATACATTTAGGCATTTCAAATCATTCATTTTATTTATTTACTTTCATTTTAATTAATAATTAGGATGGAAAGGCGTAATTTTAAAAAAAGTATACTAAATTGCCAAAAGTAACCGGACAACCCGTTTTTAGGGTGGTCGGAAACTCTGAGATGGACGCAATATTTTGGCCCATTCACTCATCAAGGGTTGCGTGGTTTCAAGGAGTGGGTGTTCAAAAACTGATTTCTCGCCACCTTAGAGAGGAATGCATCCACCCCCACACAGCTGTGATGGAAGTCTCCTATTCAAAAACTGGTGAAAAGTCTTCCCGGGAGGACCAATCAGAATGCTCCATACCCAGGGGCGGATCTACTTAAGGGCTTTTTGGGCTGCAGCCCAGGGCCCCGTGGATACAAAGGGCCCCAGTCCCCACTGAAAACAATAGGTGATATTTTGAATTAAAAAAATATCTAATATTAAAAAAATCTATTATAAAGTTGGCAACCCCGAGATTGATCAACCCATGCATGTAAGCGTCTATCAAACGTAACGGGGAATTCCCCGTCGCTTGTTTTTGGCCAGTGTATTTTTTCGCGTCTATTACGGGGCCTTTTCGCGTCTTACCCGCCGCGCCGCTTAACGCCCAACGTAATTTTGTTTCTTTTTTTTCCGCACTTCTGTTCTCGTCGTCAAAGTGACAAACTTTTTCAGTTTACTAACTTGTTTAGAAAATCATGAAGATTCTAATGAACATAAGAAATCAATGTTAGTGTGGTTACACGAAAAGAAAATAGATCTGTTTTAGACAAGCAGCTTCAGAAACAATTAAGAAAAGAAACAGAATATTATCACAATGTCTTAAAACAGGTTATTTCAGTGCAGTGGCGTAGCGAGCTTAACTCGCGCCCGGGGCACAATACCCTTTTAGCGCCCCCTATTCAAAAACCATATAATATTATATGCAAAATATACTCGCAAATTAATAATACATATGATTAATAATCATATGATTATAATACATTAATAAAACTAATTACTATCTCTAAATTTTTCGTGCTTTTGATGAAGCAAATGTATCAATAATATCATCAAAATTGTTCATTTAAAATTTTTCTTTTTCCACACTTAAAAATGCTAGGTCACTTAGGCGATCTGTCAAAATTAATTTTAATTTGCTGAATGAACGTTCGCAGCTAGCAATTGATACTGAGATAGTCAGGAGTATTTGAAATGCCGCTCTCAGATTTGGAAAAACATCTTCTCCATTCGAGATTGATTATAAAAGTAAGAAATTCTAATGGAGTTTTAGGTTTAATTTCTTTTCTACTGCGGAGTAACATTTTGCTGTCACATATTTTGATAAAAAGTTCTATTACATTGAAATCTGTATTATAAAATTCACCCAGATTTTTAAAATTTTTTTTCAAGGTCGTTATCAACATTATCCTTGTTTAATAAATTTTCAACGTCTAGTAGAAATCCAAATTTGAAATTAAGGTCACTTAATCGTGTACACATTTCTTGTTGGAGACGATCAAGAGTGCTTTTCATAACGCGAGAAATTTCACTTTCTGCGGAAAGACCACCATAGCCAATTCTCCAGGCACGTATTGTTGTATCCATATCCCATTTTTCACAAAGAGACTCTGCTTTTTCTATTGCCTCTTTACAGAGCTTGTCTCAAATTTCGGCTAGTTCAGTCGCTAATGATTCAAGATCATGGAACACTTCTCTAAAATTCATTCTAGGATCTTGTAATCTGAGCTGCACACGATCAATCCTTCTTAAGATTTCATACCAGAAATGAACTAAAGTTATAAAACTAAAGGTTAGTATATTTTGCAACAGAATTGTAGCTTCACTTCTGTTGTCACTTGTAGTGGTAGTGTGCTCTGCTAATTTTTCTATTAGTTCTTTTATATTCTCTAGCCCATAGATGATAACGATAACCGCTTGTATTCTGGCGCTCCATCGCGTTTCAGATGTGTGACCTGCCATCACGGCAGCATTATCGTAACATTGTGATCTGCAGTTTGTTAATGAAATTTCATCGTAATTTAATTTCTCTAAAATTGTATTTTCGATCGAGGCTGCATCTTTAGCATGTATTTCAATAAAACTCAAAAAAGATTCTTTGATGGAAACTTTTTTATTGATAAAATCAGCATCTACATACCTAGCGACTTGGGACATTTGTTCTCGATGAGAGATATCAGGAGTTGAATCAAACAAAAGTCCATAATATTTATTTCTTTTGATATCGTTTATTAGTTGATTTCGAACTGTAGATGCCAGAAGATGAATGAATTCATTTTGAATCTGTGGTGACAAATATGAGAACAACAAATTTTTCTGTTAACAAATTTTTTCATACTCTATTCACTTAATAATAGAATCGTCGAGTAGATGTAGTAAGTAATCTTATTTGATTTATTACTTACCAAGAATGCCTTGAACTTGAAAGGTAGTAACATAGTGAAATATACAATATAATTTATGCTGACATTAAACTTATATATAACATTTAATATTTAATAACATTTCATTTTTATTCTAAGCAGAGCGCGATGACAAGGAAGCAAAACTGAAAAATACACCCCCAAAATAACTTAAAAGTTACTATTTCGGGTATTTCACTAATTTTTCGCTGACTTCCACAACCTGTCTCAAATGTCACGGATATGTACAGTCACGGAAAAAAGTATCCGGAAAGTAACAAATAATCTTTTTTTTTAAAAAACAGATAATTCTCAGGCACACAACAAATATGGCGTTGTTTGTGCCCTTTCTTAGAAATGACAAAACGTTGTATTTGTTGTGTGTCTGAGAAGTATCTATATTAAAAAATAGACGATCCTTTAGTTGTTATTTTCCGGACACTTTTTTTCCCGTGACTGTACATATAAGTACATTAGAGTGTTATGGTTATCGTTTTAAAATAACAAGCGTAAGCTACATTGTTTTTATACAAATAAAAATAAATAGATTTCTGAAAGAAAGAATGTTTGTATTTTGTACACTGCAAATATTTATTTTAACATATTATGAGATAATTTATGTAACCACACAGCATAGAAGGAAGTGCTGACAGACACAGGTCGAGTTAGACAGACACAGGTCTGCCAGTGGAAAAGACGTGCCATTTTGTATTATGAATATATTATTACAGTTTGATTTAGACTATTAAAGTGACATTATGAATTAAATATTATGAATAATATTTATGAATTAAATATTATGAATAATATTTATGAATTAAATATTATGAATAATATTTATGAATTAACATTTATTATATCACACTGGCACTAATTTAAAATATATTTTCCAGAAATAAATCATAATAAAAAAAATTATCCAGCAATTTTTTGTTTTGCGAACCATTTGGCGCCCCTTTGTGAGTAGCGCCCGGGGCATGATGCCCCCCTTGCCCACCCCTCGCTACGCCACTGTTTCAGTGGCCAAATTTTTAAGTATAAGGGGTTTAGCAT